CAAGGGAAAGAGGTGGGGGGGAGGCAGAGACAAACGTATTTAAAAAGTAAATAAAAAAGAAAAAATAATAATTAATTCTTCATATGAACTGCAGTGTAAAATGGCCTAAATCTTTGCTTACGCTTTAAGGTTTCCATGACTGAAAACTGCTTTCACTCACATACACTTCTATAAGAAAATCTTTTTAAAAAGCTGTGATTTCAGGAATCACTAGAGGGTAGCGATATAGCACATGCTTAAGAACAAACAAAAAACCTTTCCTTTTCCCCAAGGTACACTGCATAAAAACTTTTAAGCCCAAATCCATTACAGATGTATTTCAAGATTATTCACATTGTAAAAAATATGACATTAATTATATTATGTATAGGTTCTCACTTAGGGAGCTGGTGTAAGGTACCACCAGCGTCTAGAAAAGAACAATTTTGTTAAAATGCTTCAAAAGTAAAAAAAAAAAAAAGAGAGAAAAGAATTTCAGAAACCGCATTCAGATGCTGTGATAACGAAGGAAAAACAATTCATTCCAAACACACGAACAAAATCAGACAAACATGTACAAAAATAACAGTCCTTAAAAAGTCCATCATAGGGGCTGACAGGAAAATGATGGACTGTACATCTTTTCAATTTTTTTCAGTGCAGTGTAGTATCATATAAATGTCCTATTCCAAAATATATATATATATATTTACTTATATTTATATTTTAGGGTCAAACACCTGACCACACTATCCTTCCTCTAATATAAATGGTGCAACACTCAATACAGCAGGGAACACTATTGGTAGGAAACCCACCTCATTTTCTCCATCTTGACTTCCCAGCAGTTGTAATACTTTACCATATTATCAGTGTCAGACACTATTCTAAGCTTCCTTCATTTAAATGCTCCCTTTATTCTTCATACCAACCTTCTGCATGTAGCTACCATCACCTCCACTTTATAGCTGAGAGAACAAAAGCATTGAGAAGCGTAAAGCACTGCCCCTAAGTGATAAAACCGGGATTCCAATTCAGAGTGGTACAATCGTAAAGCGGAAGTGTGGGGGGTAGTGCAAGAGATTCTACAGCTCACCCCTGGATGACACCGTCATCCTACTAACATCACTCTGCGCCCAAGGGAGAGGGAGTACTCGGGACACGAATCACAGCATCCCGAACACTGACGTTGCGTTAAGGATACCCACGGCAAGGATCTTCCCTTCGAGCATTTCCGGGCTGATCTGCCGCCCGGAGCACTCCAACAACTTCCAGAGCCCTTGGACTCCCATGAGGCAGTAGTGTCTTTAGAGCACAGCTCGGTGATGGGGCCACAGATCTTTTATTCCAATTCTTCTACAACTGGCTGCACCACCGCCCCGAACTCCGAAAGAGTTGCCCTGCTCCAATTCAGGAAAGGCGGTTCCCAGCGGCTGTCACCGCCTCCCTGCAGAAAGATGGAACCGTAGAACCGAATAAGGCCCACCTTGGGAAGGAGCAGGTCCTCTTTCGAATACCGCTTTGTCCCAAACGTTTGAACGCTTAACGGAAGACTCGCTTGAGGGAACAGCGCAGGCGAGATGAAAAGCCTGAAAGCGTCCCTCCGGCACACCCTTTTTCTGGGTGGGTACGCAAACCCACGCAAATGGGACCTCTCGGATTCCGTCTGATACGATGCGCACGCAGGGCGGAAGTCTTGCTTCAACGCGCCTACGGTGTATTTGCTGAGCCGCTCTACTCCGGAAGTGAGGGTTCAATTCCGCCCCTACGTTTGTGGTGTTTTAGCTATTTCCTCCGTGCTGGAGTGCTGTCGCGGGTAAACCTCAAAACGATGCGCGGTGTCTGCTTGCTGAGGTGATGATTTTCTACGCGCTTTTTCGGTGTCAGTTTCTCCTCACCGGCCGCCACTAATATTAATAGTGAAAACTTTTAACACTAAGTATTGTTTTCACCTGAAGCGACAACAGAATGGTGGATGCTTTGCTGGTGTCTTTAAGTATTTGTTGGGTAATTTGTAGTAACTAGATAGATAACTTGTAATAATACGCTGTAAAGCCTTAACCCTTAAAATAGGTTCCTTTTCTCCGGCATGTAAAATTTTGGATTCCACAGCTTCTGGGTCAGAAAGGACGAGAAACTAATTGCCAGAAGGGCCTCTGGAAATGCAGTGGCTCTGGAACCCTTAAGCCAAGATTCAGGTCCCGACCACACATCGTAGTGTACAACATTGTTCAAGTAACATTTATTTAGAGCCTGTTTCTTCATCTGTAAAATGGGCATAAAATCAGTCTTGAAGACTATTTTAGCGAAGACCAGAGCTGACTATGCAAAGTGCTTACACTACTGGTTATTCAGTAAATGATAATCTTAATACATATTGGTTCAAATTTGAACTACTGAAACTAGATTCAGACTCAGTGAAAAGGCTGATTTAAATAAGGAGGTAATTTTGTTAAAGTTTTATGACAAAATCAAAAATTATCTTAAAATCGTTGCTGTCCCCAGATGTTTCACAGTAGCCATGTTTAGTTGACCTAGTAACAACTAATAGCCTATTGGGGATAGTCCTGACAATGTGCTTTTCTGCATATCCACTATTTGTAACAATTCCCAGAAATTGTTCTTAGTTGTATTTTACGGAGATTAATATAATTGCCTATTCAGTTTTTGTCTCCCTCCACTGTAGACTGTAAAGTTACTGAAGCCAGGAACTATTTTTTGACTCTTACATCCCTCACTCCTTACACTTAGCAAGGATTCCGTAAGTATTGCCTAAATAACCTTTTCTGCCTCTAGTCTGAAGCTCTACAGTGCATCTTGCACCCTGCTGAATGAATTTCCTCCCAAGTCAGGCAGACATTAGTCCAGATACAACCTCAGTCAGGTAACTCTGTGTTAATGGGATGCGTTGTGCCCTCCTCCAAAATTATGTGCCCTCTTCCAGTAACTCAAAATGTGACTGTATTTGGAGATACAGCCTTTTAAAAGTTGATTAAGTTAACATACACCCCTGAGGGTGTAAGTCAGAGCTAACCCACTCTGACTTGGGGTCCTTATAAGATGAGGAAATCAGGACACAAAGACACCAGGAATGTGTGTACAGAGAAAACACCACGTGAAGACACAGTCAGGAGACAGCCATCTGCATGCCAAGGAGAAAAAACTCAGTGAAACCGAACCTGTTAAAACCTTGATCTTGAACTTCTAGCATCCAGAACTGTGAGAAAATAAATTTCTGTTGTTTAAGCCACCCAGTGTGTAGTATTCTGTTATGGGAGTCTTAGCAAACTAAGATACCCTATGATCCTAAGCAAGTTTCTTCACCAATAAGAGTCTGTGAATAAAATGGAGATGCCACCATCTTCTTGAGGATGTTCTGAGCTCAGCCATTTAACCTGAAACACCTAGTGGGTAATAGTACGCAATTTGTTGAGTGAATGACTAAGGGAGAAAACACTATAGGTAAAAATTGAAGTACAGAATGTGATGTATGCTAGAGCACCTTGCCTGAGCTCCTTCAGTGTCTGGGAGAAGGCATGTGGGAAAGTGTTAAACCTGCTCCACAAGCTTGGCCTAATAATAGGGAATCGTAGTGGAATGAGGAATAGTTTCAGGATTTTATGTAATTGAACATTTTTTTACTCTGTGAGGTAGGTATTAAAAAAAAGTAGCCAATGTGGGCATGTGAATACTGTGTTTTTAAAACCAGAGCAATATTTCTTAAAATACAAAATACTCTTTGGAAGGGACAGCAACTAAGGGATGACTTAAAAGGAATTGGCTCCTTGAGATGCTGTTTAATGGGCTCTCAAGTTTCTGAACAGTAAAATACACATATTCTGGAGTAGTAATAGTAGTGCACCCACTGTGGAAAACAGTTGGAATTTCCTCAAGAAGCTAAAAATGGAAATGCCTTTTGACCCAGCAATTCCACTGCTGGGATTATACCCTAAGAATCCCAAAACACCAGTTCAAAAGAACCTATGCACCCCAATGTTCAAAGCAGCACAATTTACAATAGCCAAGTGCTGGAAGCAACCTAAATGCCCATCAATAAATGAGTGGATCAATAAACTATGGTACATATACACAGTGGAATACTATGCAGCAGAAAGAATGGGGAGGGAGGGAGGGAAGGAGGGAGGGAGGGAGGAAGGAAGGAAGGAAAGGAAGGAAGAGCTACTACCCTTCCCAACAACATGGATGGAACTGGAGAGCATTATGCTAAGCTAAATAAGCCAGGGGGTGAAGGACAAATACCGTATAATCTCACCTATAAGTGGAACCTAATCAACAAAACAAGCAAGAAAAATATAACCAGCAACATTGAAAGTAAAACAAACTGACAGTACTGAGAAGGAAGGAGGGAGGGGGGTAACAGGGAAAAGAAGGGGAAGGGTAAAATCAAAGAGTATGTATAAAGGACCCATGGACAAAGCCAAAGTGGGGAAGGATTGAGGGTGGAAGGTGAGGGTGAGGGGGGGCAAGGGAAAGTAGGGGCAGGAAAATGATGACATATCTGAACAACAAAAAAGAAAAAAAAATAGCAAGCACTCAAGTAGCAATTCCTATTCACCAAGCACTGTTCTGAACACTTTACATGTATTAACTTAATTCTTCAAAACAATTTATAAAAGATACTACTATCCCCATTTTATCAATGAGTAAATAAGCACAGAGAAATTCATCTTAATTTGCTCAAGATGATATAGCTAAAGTGCAGAGCCAGTATTTAAACCTTTTGTTAAGTGATCCTGTATGTCAAGAGTTGAGTGTTTATGGCCAATAAGCAATCTGTATAAACTCATCCTCTTAAGTGTCTTGCTACTCTATTTTATGTTGAATTTGTCTCCTTTCCTCTTGGCTCCTTTTCTCTGAAATATCCAAACTCTGTGAAATTGCTGATATTCAACCATATTTGACCTACAAAACTCACAACTTCATTTGTTTCAAGCTACGAAGAATTAAATTTCCTATTTCCTATTATAAAGAGTTACACAAATCTAAAATTATAGTTATAATGAGTATTATTTCATTAATAAGAGTCTTTGAGAAATAACTGATGAAGTCCCAAGAAAATTCCTCTAGTCAAGTTCTGATCCAGCCATGTAAAAAAAAAAAACAAACAAAAAAACTATTAAAAGTCTAATACAAGATGTTTTCTTATAACACACTTAGCATTAACAAATTATGTCTTCAAACAAAATTATTCCCTAAAACAAAATATTCACGATTAAAAGTAGAAAACAAAATTTTATTTGATGAAAACTTCTTAAAAGTTCCAGTATGTAGTAACAAAATCAACACCCTACAAATCTTTTAGTCCTTTGCATTTCAAGCAAAATAGTCCTTTCAGAAAAATGGCGATTTCATAATATATGTCCCCTTCTGTAGGCTTAGGCATGTCTGAGTGGTTTAATGGATATAAAATTCAAAAGAGAAGAAAATTAAAATATTTTAAAAGTAAAAATCTGAACCTTCTTGAGATGTATTGCAATATGGTACCAATGTATTCAGCACCTTGTAATAATCAAGTCACTGATTTGAGTTCTGGAACAGCCCCTGATATGAAAGAACAAGAGGTCCTAGTCATTTGTGAGTGACAAGTTGACAGCATAGAAAACACTAACAGCCAAATACAGAGGAGCTCAAATATATGAAGTCCACACTTCTGAACTATTTAACAGTCACTTCAAATAACTAATTGTCTACATGTTTTTTAAAAGAGGATACTTCAAGAGTTTGGAATATGGATAGTTGCCCTCTGAGTGATGAGGCATTCTGAATGCATCTTTAATGTTGTTATCAATATATGAGTCCATGTTGAGAGACCAATCAAGTTATCAGTATCAGATCTCATTTCACAGATTACCTTGGATATAGGAACTATATCCACTTGTTCTTTTACTCTATCCCTAAGACAGGGTTTATTGTAGACTTACAGAAGTCTTTCAAGACCTAAAGTTCTTGTCAATATTTGATAGTAACATACCAAGTCAAGAGAGTCAAGAATATCCTAAAACTGCACTAGGTCACCCATTTGCACCAACTGAAAGGATTAGTTTCTTGAGCCTTCTCTCTTTTGCCTCTATTGAGAATCCTGAGAAAGTTAACCAGGAAACAAATGAGACAAGCAAGATACTTCAACAAATAAAAGAACTACTAGACTCACTGAAAAATTTTAAATGACTTTAACTATGAGAGAAAACTCAACAGCCCCATTTTTTTCCTAAAGGGCTGGTGGTGCCTTACATAATGAGCTTAGGAATAAAACTATCTGCAACAAATGCCTTGGGATCAAGTCATAAGCAATCATGCCATGCTTAACTATTTCAAATCATATTATTAAGTAAATTTGCATTTGTTATTGGATTTTGTTAAATTGTCCAGAATGTTTATATACTCAAATTTAAAACAATTATCTGTGTTTATCTGCTTATATATCTGAAATCAACCATCATAATCATATGCAATCTTATATACTAGAGAACTACAGGGTTATGTTTTGTATCACAAAATCTGTTCCTATTTAGTGTAGACTTAATCTTCTCCTGTCTCAATGGAGTCCTGTATAGACCAGTGCGTAATACAAGTTTTTCAGTACCCAGCATAGTCAATCATTCCCACCATACTCTCTGTATCCCTGGTATCCACTGTTCCTTCTCTCATGGATACTGGACATCTTTTTCCATGCCGAATCCTGATGGAAACCAGCACTGAAAGACCGGCCCAGACGCCCATGATGCTTCTTGGAGATATTGTCTTCACTCTCAGATTTGGCAATTCCCTGGCCATGTGTTGGAGGTTGTGACTCTTGTCTAATGGTTCCAAATGGAAAGTTCCAAAGGCCAAACCTTTGCCAATTAAGTCTCTGGAATGCTATAATACAATGCAAATTTCCCCCAACCTGAGAAGGAAAAAATGTTGAAAAACAACATTTGGGACACAATGTTGGGAAGACAATGATGGAAAACAAATTGCTCCTATGAACTCCCTTATTTTTTTTTCCCCCTTTACCTTCCTCACAACAGTACTTACCCATTCAGACATCATCAGATCACATTATCCTGCATCTTCCCTGAGCAGCTGCCATTACGAAACTATAACAATGCCCACATCTTTGTCAATATTTGACAGTAACAAACAAAGTCAAGAATATCCAAGGGAGATAAAGGGGAGAAACAAATGGTACAACTGTAACCAATAAAATAAAAAAGAATATCCTGAATCAATACACTTAAGTCACCCATTTGCACCAATAGAAAGGATTAGTTTTCTTAAGTCTTTTCTCTTGTACTTCTTTATTGAGAATCCTCAGGAAATAAATGAGCCAAAACATCTTTCCCCTATATGCCACTCACACACTGTAACTTCCCCTTCTGTCTAGGTCAAATACCATCATCCCTCTTCCTGGCCTACACTTGTTAGTAGAATTCTTCACTTGTTAGTAGGACTCTATCTATGGGATGTCTACTCGGTCCATAGAATCTACCTATCTCTGAGAAATATCCCCAGAAGTTTTGTGTGTACACATGACTATCCCAAGGCCACAGTTAATATGGCCCAGGAGTGAACACCTGACCCAAACTGGGTCAAGACTATGGAACTAGGCCTGAAGCCAGCCAGTCACAGTCTAGACTGCTCATCTGAAAGGGACATAAAGATGATGATGATCTTCAGGAAGTAAATAATCAGGCAAAAAGATAAAATCATATAACTCCCAAAAGAATGAGAAAGGCTAGCTACTTGGTCCCTGCTAACATTCTTTTACATGGTACCAGTCCCATATGAATGCAGGCTACCCTCCTTACCCTTTCATTTTAAATATACCTGTGGCCTTAAAATAATTTTCACTTTTCTGTCTAAGATGGTCTGATCTTGGCTTATATTATTTCCCATGTAGAATACTGAGTAAAACTACTGCATTTTGGCCAGTTGGGAAATACCTTCAAATACAATGGTGTTCTTACCTTCTTGGTTTTTCTATACTGCAGCCCCCTCTCCAAGTGTCGAATATCTAGAAATTCTGGATTTTGAGTATTTAGATCAGTTACAATATCTGCCCATCTACAGTTAAGAAGGAAGAATAAAGCACAATTTACTTTTTAGTACAAAAGACCATTGTAATGGAACTTTTCATATGAGCAATATTCTGTAATATTACCATGGCAATAAGCCTCTATCTCAGGATTGTTCCACCCACTAACCTCTAATAAACTCATTTTTATAACAATTCTGTTTATACAACTATTGCCAAGGTTCTCAGTTTAAAAATGGTCAGTCTCCCTATGAAATAAATATATATCAACCTATTAGATGACATCCTGCAGGTTAGAGACATTCTTAATTAGAGTCAAGTGCATTTACAAAAGACTTTAAAGTTAAGATGCCTTTAGAGACAACTTGATTGTGTGGAAAATATAAAGCAATTATAAATTTCTTTGTAGTGAATATCTGCTAATAGAACTAAGAAGTGAATTTGGTAAAAATGCATGATTTAAGACTTATATAGAAAAGATAATTATATTTCTGTACATAACCAGAAAATAACTGAGAAATGAAAAAAAAATCAATTTACAATAGCATCAGAAAATAGAGAAAATTTTTAACAAAATACATATAAAATTCTACATTGAAAAATATAAAACATTGCTGGAGGGAAATTAAAACTCTAAGTGGAGGTAAAGTCTATGTTCACTGGTTACAAGAGTCCATATTGTTATGATGTAATTCTCTACAAAATAAACTATGGATTCTCTGGATTTTATTCTAATCAAAATTCCAACAGAATTCAACAGAAACTGAAGAAGAAAGTAAGTTAACATACTTTTTACAGTGAATAGCAGGATGTTTTCTACTTGATTCTCCAATTAAGATCCAATATTCTACTTCTTGTGGTGAGAGTGGACCCCTGCTAGATTTAAAATACATTCACAGCAAACTTAATAAAGATCATTCGTTCCTTTGAAAATAGTACTTCAATTATATATTAATAAAAGATATATAAAAGTTTATTCAAAGAATGCATTCATTACTGCTAGAATAGATATTGGAGTTTAGGCTTGAGCAAATATCTGCACACAATTAAAGAGAAAACATAAATTTTGGGCTTGATCCCCTATTACAAAATCTAGGGTTAACAAAGTTGACATATACTACCTCTCAGCATTTAACAGAAAAAAAAAATCTTAGCATGCTACCAGAATTCTTCAGCTACTCTTCTCCTTTTACTATACGTTCAAAAAGTTTCAAAATACATCCTAAAAACAAAACCCTAAGTAATGATTGACCTGTGAAACTTTTAAACATACTAATGCCCTAATTCCTCCATGGGAAATTCTAATTTAAATACATCAAGAGTGGAGCACAAGCAAGGATTTGCAGTTTGAAAAGTATCTCAGGTGGTAATTCTTAGGTACAGGCAGGGATGACAAACTCTCCTCTAATGGGCACAAAGTAGAAGTACCTACTTTTTTATGTATTACATGTGATAGATATCTGGAGTAATGTAATGCTGTGGGATGAAACCATAGAAAAAACAACAGGAGTATACCTCACCTCCAGAGAGATGAATGAAACATTTCAGGATTTGGAGAAACTCACTAATTTTCCTCTTGCTCCACATTCACGAAAGTACAACGTCCAGCATCCTAATTCTCACAGTTTGCTCCTGCCTGTCTCAGGATCCCTGCACACCTCCACCCCTGCCCAAGCTCCACCAAATGCTTTGAGTGGGATACAAAGGTCCCCTGGCCTCCAGCCTCAAAGAATCCATCCTATCCCCCAGATGACCTTTGTTCCTGTGTGAGAGAATAGTGCTACCTCTTCCTCCTCTTCAATTACCAATTCCACCAACCTGGGGGTGAACAAACCAGAAATTCAGCAGGCTGAGGATAACCATGCCTACCAATACTTTTTCTCAAAAGTATTCATGGTTTCTGCTTTCACCATTCTCAAATAGGACACTTCTTCCTTTGCTTTTAACTATCTTGGCATTATCTCAACCCAGCATGAAGAAAACTTGCTAAGGAGTGAAAAGAGTACTACAATTCAGTCACCCAAATAAATCAATTTTTAAAATAAATAATGTTTTAAATAAATAAA